AGATATTGGCACAGATCTTAGAAATCTTTGCTAATATTTATAATTCATTCTCTTTACTTAAGTTTAATCACCCCTCTTTCAACATCATATGCTTATAATGATTCTCAGTGAAACTCACTATTCAGAATCACTGTAACATTACTACAATTTTAATAATTTAGTTAATATTTATTTTTGTATTAATAACAAAAATAATTTTTAGATTATATTCTCTATTGAAATGCTTTTTTTAACTTCATTTATATATTCAATTATTTTTGTTATTTTTATATAATTTAAATATTTGTATTTATAATAAGATAAATTTTTTCAATAATTTAAATAACAAATATATAGAACTCTAAAATATTATATTAAAAAAGTTCTTTTTTGATATTTAAATTTGAAATAGTAATATATTTTAAAAGTTGTAATTTTTATTTTAGTAATATTAATTTAGAATTTAATTAATTTTATAAACTTAGTTTAATAACTTTGTAATTAGATAAATTAATTTTCTAATTTAATAATAATATTTGATGATATATTTTTAGTCTTTTATTATTAACTGATATTTTTAATTCTTTTTATCTAATATTTTTAATTTATATATGTTATTTTCAAATATATCATAAATATAATATAATCTTTTTTATTTAACTTTTAGTTTTCTTTTGTCTTTTAAATAACTTTTGTAAAATAAAACTTATTTGACTAAACTAATTTATTAATCAAACTTCAAATCTTGTTATTCAAGTTATTTTTTATAAATCTTGAGAAAATTAAGAAATTAAATATTAATTTGTTTAAAAATTAAATTTTTATTAAGTTTTTAAACTTTGAAAAAATGAAATATATTTTTGAATTAAATATTTATATTATTTTGATTTTTAATTAAAAATATTTGATTTAAATATAACATTTTATTTTCTTGTTGATATTGAAAGTACTAGAATATATATATATAAATATAGAAATATTATTACTATTTATTTTTAATTAGTTTATTATATTTTGAATATAGTCTTTTAATTTTTTTCTTATCTTCTGATAGAATTATTTAATAATTTTTATCAAAATTAATACAGATTTAGATATTTATTTTATTTCTTTCTTTTAATCTATATAATTTTTTATTATAAATAAAAAAATTTTTATTTAAAATAACTATAATATTATATATATATAATTTTTTGTTCTCTCTTTTTTTCAAACTAAAATTATCTTGTAAAATTATTTTATAAATAAAAGAATAATAATATTTTTTTTAAATCTTATAAACAAAAAAATAATAATAATTTATTATATTTATAAAAATTATATAATTCAAATCAAATTATATTTGAATTGTATTTTATTTTACTATTTTGCTTTAGTATTTTCTTATTTTAGTTTCAAATTAAGTATGATATTAATAAATAATTTTAGTTATATATTATTAATATTAATTAATAATTATTAAATTTTTTATAATATTTAAATTTATTATATTAATATATATCATTGAATAACTCTAAAAATTAAATAGTTAATATAAATAGATATTTTTAAAAATCTTTTTATAATTTATAACTGAATGAAACAAATATATATAAAATAAAATTTATAATAATTAATTATTCTTTTTAAATATTATTAAATTTTAAATATATTTAATTGATTAGAAAAAGAGTTAATATTTATTATAATAAAATATTGTAAAAATTATATATATATATCTTCCATAAAATATATTTTTTATTATTTTAAGTTCAAATTGTGAATTATATCTGGATATTAGATATAGAAAAGTATTATAGAATATAATTTTTATAAGATAAATTCAAAGACAAAAAATCTTTTAAATATTTAATTAACAAGTTGTTAAATTTAAATTTAGAGTCATTATCTTACTTAAATAAATTGAATTTTTAAAAATAACTTAGAAATTGTTCAGTTTGATAAAGTATCTTTATTAATATAATATATTATCTCTATAGTAGTAATATTCTAAATACTAAATTGAATTATAAAATAAAATATAAATTATATATTTGAAAAAAATAAATTGAATAATAATTTTAATACAAAAAATTATTTGTATTTGAATCAAGTACAAAAAGCTATAGAAAATAGAATTTAATTATATTTCAAATAAAATACAAAATTTTATGAATATTTGAGCTATATAATTTGTAATGCAAATTAATTTTATTATAAATATAATTTATTTATATTTAAAATTTAGATTAGTTTATAATAAATTTAATAAAATAAATTATTTTCAATTATTTTGTACTTAAAATTACTATTATTTAATATAATAATTAAAGTTTACAAATTTTATATAATAAAAATAATACTTTACAAAAGTTACATAAAGTATATTATATTAATATCTGGAATTTATTACAATTTTTACAAATTGCTATCTATATATAAAACTGAATTTAAATTACAGAGAATACTATTCATAGAGAATGATTTTTATAATATTTTATAATAAGAATTTGTTTTTAATTTTTTGTATTACACATTAATCTTACAATTTGATTGTTTATAATTTTTAGAGAGATATCAAATGATTAATCTCAGAATTAAAATCACATGATTTGATACTTTTTTGACTATAATTAAAATACTATCAATATTTAGCAATCTGATTTGAGTAAAAATATTACTATTTAATTTATCTAATTAAAACAAATTGAATGGTAATATTTTGTTTGAATTAGAAAATTTGTATTATTTGTAAATAAAATAATTATAATGATTAAGAGTGTGATATAATACATGTATTGAGTTACTATAAAGATAATTTCTCTCTACTAGATGAGATTTTTATTATATTTAATTAGCTAATTATTTTTGATCATGTAAAAAATGAGATTTTAAGAGCTCTTTCTCTTTCTCTCTGATAATTATATAATATATATCACTCCCCTTATGAAATTCAATACACATAAAAAATTTTGATCCAAAATTAATTTTGATGAACACAAATCAGAACGAAAATACAGATGTTTCAATTAATAATTTAAAAGAAAAAAATGTTATGAACTTGTTTTTTATACAGTATTTAATATATTTTTTGATTTTTTTATATATTTAGAATAATAATAATTTTAAATGCTACAATGATATATGTAATAACATTGAGGATAGTGCTCCAATCGGATCAGATCTGATCCGTGACTCGACTCGGAATACACATTTCAGGGCAGGTCGGATTGGGGTCAAACTTGACCTGAAATATTTCGGGTCAGTCTAAAAATCATTATTTCTCGTTCATATTAATTGGAATCAAACGAAAATTTGTGGGTATACACAATTACATTCCGAACAACTATACTTAGGCATGAAATACAAGTGTATTAGTAAAAATAAAAGTTATTAGGGACTGACATATATTACATAATTATCAGAGGGGTCTCAAAATCTCACCTTCCACGAGATCAAAAATAATTAGCCAATTAAAATATAATAAAATCTCACCTGGGGGGGGGGGGGTACGATACCTCTATAATAACTCGATATTATGTAATATATGTCAATCCCTTAACGAAAAAAACTATTTTCGGATCAAATTCGATCCACTCAAAATTATCGATTCGAGTTGACCTTAAACCTGATCCGACCCGACCCGAACAGAGCTTTAATTGAGGATCAGGATTTGTGTTATTTTTGTGTTGTAAAACTTTCAGAGTATTATATTAAATTTACAGCCAGTTAGGTTACTTATGACTGGTACTGTATATTATGTATGAATAAAGTATCCGTTTTTATTCCAGATGTAGCGAGAGAATAAAGCGTAAATAAAGACCAAATAGCGATATGGAGGTTAAGTTGCAAAAATCCATTTTAAATTTCTTATATCGCACGCTATCTTTATCTTTACAAGTAAAAGCATAAAAAAAGACCTAAATATGGATGAGGTTGTAATATAACAAAAAGCACAAATGAATTTAACGATGGGTCAGGGACATATAGCAAAAAATAAAAAATTTCCCTATCGTTATTTTAAGAAATTCATTAAATTGGAAAAGGATTTAAGAGTGATGTTGTTGTTAGCGTTAGCGTTAGAGTAAGATACTGTATCGGTATTGCCGTTACTGTAATTAAAGTTAATCGATACATGTACATGTATATGCCGTGTGTGTAACACATACCACAAACCTAGTCTTTGTAATACGTAAATTGAATACGAATTTCTCACTGAATTTTTGTTAAACATTTATACCAAAAGGTTATTTTTGCAAGTCATTACAGATTTTGTGCTTGTTACTTTTTTTGGAAACCTAACAATTAGCACTGGATTTTTGCGTCCGAGAAGATATCGTACATGTATTTATACAGCTTTTTTGGAAACCTAACAATAAACACTGGATTTTTGCGTCCGAGAAGATATCGTATTTATACAGCTTTGCAGATTCATGAATTGTCAAAAAACATTATAATAAACATAAATTAAAACAATGGATAACGGTAATAATACTAATAATAACGTGGATAAAGATGCGTCAAGTGACACCACGCCGGAAAGAAGAGGAACTTTTGCTGGTATTGGCAACATGATTGGTGTTGGAATATTTTCAAGTCCTGGTTTAGTTTTAAGTGAAATTGGCTCTCCTGGGATAGCATTAATTTTATGGGCAGTGGGTGGAGTTGCCACTTTATTCGGATCACTTTGTTATTTCGAGGTATTTATTTTTTAATGTCATTTTATCTTCATTCTAATTTAACATCTTAATTTTAATACATGTAGTTAGGACATTCTCTAAGCACAGGCGGAGAAATTGAGTATTTGAATCAAGCATATCCTCGTCCAAAAAAACTAATTAGTTATATTTTTAGTTTTGCCATGGTTGTGGCAATACGACCAGCTTATATTTCAGCTGTCGCAAATGTTTTCGCGCAATATTTCTTATATTTAATCAAAGGATGTTATGACATTGATTATCTGCATCCAAAGGGATACATTACTGATTGGAACTTTTGGTAAGAGAAATGTCAATAACGATAATAATTATACGGGATTCACGCACTTAAATCTAAAAATTCTATCATTAGGCAATTACGACTTTGTTCATTAGCTGCAGTAGTTATAGTCACATTTTATCACATTTCGATTAGTTCTATCAAATGGGCCAGTCGTATAAATCAAACTTTTACGATCATAAAAATGCTGACACTGCTTATGATATCGTTTATTGGACTAGTAGCAATTCCTCTGTTTATTAACGATGAAAACACGAATTGGAAAAATATGTTTCCTAATGATATGAATATTAGCGCACGCTCTTTGGCTGCTGCACTTATTCCTATTTCATTTGCATATAATGGATGGAATAATTTAAATTGTAAGCGATAAAAATTTTTTATCTGCGCTTCAGTAAAATTCGGACATTTAACGTTAAACCTTTTTTTTATAGATAATTCGGATGATACCGTCGATCGACAACAAAATTCACTCGTGCCAAATATTATTAGTGTCAGTATTGTTAGTTACTTGTGTAGGTATTATTTACTATGCGAAGTTTTTAAATTTACCATATTAACATATAGATTTTTATATTCTAGACCTTTGTGCTAATATCGCATACACAAATGTACCATTATCAAAAATAGCCGGCATTAATGGACCTTCAGAAATTATTGCTGACCAATTCGCTTTCCTAGTCGGCAGGTTTAATTTAGCTCGTGCATTCTCTTTTTTCGTCTGTTTATCAGCTCTTGGAGCATTGGCCGCGAACGTGTGGACTGGATCACAAGTAATTGTAACCGCTGCTAAAGGAGATTATATTCCTTTCTCGTCAAAGTTCCAAAAAGATAAAAAATCTGCATTGGTATAAAAATATATTTGTTATTCTTGAATATTTATTTTCTTTAATCCTTTAATAGTGAAATACATGTATTATTTTCAGATAACACAAGCAATTTGGTGTTCATTGATGATTGTTTTTTATCCTCTTAATGATCCATTTAAATTTTTTGTTAATTTGAGTGAGTATTGCATGTGGGTATTTCTATTTCTGAGCGCTTTGGGATTGTTGGTGAGTTTTTTTATGTTAATCGGTGTTTGTTGAGGCTTTCGATGAGTTTAAATATTCTAATTAGATTTTTTTAGTTTCTGCGTCGTCATTCTAAACGCCTATTCAAAGTACCTATTGGAATACCCATAATATTTATTATATTCGCACTATTTATAATCATTGGGTCTTTCATAAACGATTCACCACAAAAGCAACAACAATTCCTCGACGACGACCAATTCCTTGACGACGACCAATTCCTTAACGACGACCAATTCCTTAACGACGACCAACTATGTGAAAGTTCTAAAGTCTACAGATACGTAGACTACCAATATCACCTTCCTTATATTATCAGTTTTGTCGTAATAGCAGTTTGTGCAATTTGCTGGTACTTTGCACCCCGTACAAGTAATAACAATGACAATAATAGTATTTCGTCGGAAGATGCGGGGTAATCGGTCGTCTGAGATACCATTAGAAGTCACCAGGACAACTGACTCTTATAGTTCCAAGGATTTTTAATTTAAAGGAAAATTTTGTATTATTTTATAATTCTATATCTTAAATTGTTTTATTTTTTATATGGATGTTAACCAAACCTTAGACTATATTTTTTTCTATTTTATGTGTATTTTAAGTGTGCGCTATTGTAGTGTCTAATGTGAAATATCTAAGAGCAGTAAGATGGCTGAAACTGATATAAAATAACGTTTTTACACAATTGAGATTTCGTAAGCTTTGAAAATGACTCTTTGAAATGTATTAACCCTCTAACGCTAATCATAATTGCAATGCTTGCTTTCTATGCTAATATACAATATCCTCGAACACCTATGAACCATTTTGGAATGCATTTTCATATCGTCAAATGACTTTGATGGAGTATTTTATAACTCCAATTCAGATGCAAAGTGTTAAATCACCAATTTCGGATGGCTCTAGTAACCAAAATGAAAACCATGGATGCCGAGCATTAAATTACCAGTTTCATAACCAATTCTGGGTCTGTTCAAACCTTTTCTGCTAAATATTCCTTTTCTTCACGAATAATCATATAGTATCACCAAATGCAACAGCACAAAAAAAATGCGATTTATATAAAAACAAAGATTATGAAAATCATCAATTTAAACAGACCTTCGATATTATATAATCTAAATATTGTAATTTTTCCCCCGTAATTGTATTTGCGAAGATTACGCATTTTTATCAGCATCTCTTGTTCGTTACATCCTTTTTTTTTTTTGAATTCTTAGTCTAAATTCAAGTCTTTATAAAATAAATTTTTTTATAAGATAGCAGCATTCAACTCTAATCTTGAAGGGCATGATGCCTTCTCAAATTCTTTTTGTTATAAAAAATGCTGGAGGAATTATTATTGTTTTTATTGATGATAAAATGCTGATTCTATTTTTTGTTAAGGCAGCACCGTAATTGGAAAAGTTGGGTATCGGTATGCGAAAAAAATACATGTATTATGAACGAATATAGAAAAGATGCACTGCAAGCTTTATAAGGAAGTTGGCATACTCAAAATCTTTTGTTCAATGATCAAATGAGCCTTAGGATGATTTATGTATTTAGACTTTCTTTAATATTACTAAAAGTGAATTATCGAATAATTTAATATCGATATATGACAAAAATCTAGACATTTTGCTTATGAAGTTGTCTATATTTGATCAGTAAACAATTTGTTTAAGCTAAAAAAGAAATGTTATAGCTTATGTTTAGAGCTACAAATCAGCATATCATACTATAAGCTGATCATGAATCAAACTTGAACTTGTATAATGATTCAGTTTGAATACAGTTTGAACTTTGATCATTTCTTGAACTCAAGCCAAAGTCTGGTTCGAGTTCGGTTCGAATTTTGAACCAGACTCGAACCCAGACAAAAGTCTGGTTTGGTTCAGTTCATAGAAACACTAAAAATTCATTATAATAAAATATATAACACCAAAGAATTGAGTTTGGAAAAAACTTTGTATTATCAAAGGACTAGAAACAATTCACAAAGAAAAGCTGGTACATCGTAACTATCATTCCAAAAATATATTATTGCATGCTCATTTGAATTTATTACCCAGAAAATATAAAAATCTAATCAAAAAACTTACGAAGTGCTTCTTATATCAATACTTTATAACTGCAAATATTTATAGTTTTGAATGAAGTCATGATATATTTCTTGTATGCGACATCTATAAAAGAGTACGACCTCAAATGCAAAATAAGTTCCCGGTTGGTGAAAATTATCATTGGAAGTGTTGGAAAACAAAACAACTGCTGAGTCACTATAATTTTATCTATGTCGATCTTATCGACTATGAGAGGTAAAATTGAATACATGTATTTTGCACTTTCAAGAACTACAGTGTTTTAAAAATCAAGTTAAAAAGTCTCTTAAGTTTGAAGACCAGAATGCAAGGATACTTTATGATGTAATAAAATCCAACAAAAGCATTCGGGTAAAAACAATAGTTCACACCAGTCGAAGCTTACTTCAAAATTAATTTCCATTCCAACTGACACAGGTACTTAAATTTCTAAATTGAATTTTCATACTAGTTAAAAATTGTATCCATATTAAAAAGATAGAAATTCGTGATTGTAATAAGTGCTCGTAGTCAAAAAAAATAATTACTCCAAAGAATGTTCGTTTGACACAAAAAATTTTCTAATGGATTCCCTTTGAAAGATTTGTCATGATAAAAGGATATTGCGATAATTTATAAAGCTTTCTGGCTGGTTATACGGAATCATGCAGAACAAAACAATGTAAAGAATACGAAATTACATGTACGTACAGTACCCCAAAAAGTAACGCCCGATTTGGATGTGCAAACTTAAATGTGTCGGTTTTCCCCCTTTTTGTTATTGTTGACTGCAAATTTTTTTTATTTCCTTCTTCGACTTTTGAACATATACTGGGCGAAATTTGTTGGCTGTAAATATAACACACGCTGCCTCCAGTTGACCGACTTTGACAAGGGTAAAATGGATAATTTGGATCGGGGTTTTGAGTGCCGTACAAGTTGCAAGAAAAATGATCCGTGACTCGATGACGGGATAATGGTCTCTTGCCGAATA